GACTGTAATTTAAATAAAATATTTTTAGAAATCAGTGTTCATCATAATATGTTTACTATGATTTACAATTAACATCAATTAAGATATTTGTACATACCAGGCTTTCTAACCACTAACACAGCTTCTGTGAAATCATCTTCATTTTGCTCTTTACAGTAATTATGTTCAGTTGTGACATCCCATCCTGAAAAAATTACACTATCATAGCAAATAATGATGTAGAGTCAATGACACTTACAAATGGTCGTACTTTTATCTTGTTAATACTTGGGCCCAAGAATGTATAGAGACGTCTCCTTCTCTTTTAAGTACCATGGTTGAAAGTAATAAAATAACTCACCAGTTGCAGTCAGAGGCACACCATGAGCTATTTCATTGTCAGTAAGCAAGGACGGGTAAGAGTATCGAAGTCTTCTGCCTTCATTGCCGAACTGAAATACATCAAAATGTTTTTCACAGACACGTTTGTTAAGTAACTGTTCTTTGGAAAGTACAATGAGCTGGGGATTTGTCGGCACTATGAAAACCATCCACAAGTTCCTTAAATTATCGTTCCTAGGGAATCTGAAAAGCCGGTGCGTTTCACGTGTTGTATTGCAACCACCAACACAACACTTTTCGTATACCATTATGATGATATATGCAATATTCACACGAGCAGCACGAAAACAGAATATTGTAATAATTGAGAAAAATTTAGATAAATAATGGCGGCAAATGGCGGCAATCAATGGGTGCGTTTGGCAGAAAAAAGCGCTAGCAAGCGCTTACAAGCGCTGAAATAGTTTTCGGCCAGGACACGATTACTACTTCAGTAGCGCTGACACAATCCGCCATTTTGCTTATTTAATTTGTTTGTTTTGAAATAGAGTTTATAAGTTGTTTTGTGCAATATTAGTTTTAAGTAATATAATAACGTGAATAAACATATACATGTTATTAAAAATTCATGATTGGTAAGTTTTTAATATGAATACTTTACAAACATATATTTAAATTAGGTTAGGTTCCTCGGTTAAAACTAACATCGTGTCCTGGAGGAAAATAGCTACTTACGATTTGACAGCGTTTACCGCTTACGATCGCCATTTTGCTTATAAGCGCTTGCTAGCGCTTTTTTCTGCCAAACGCACCCAATATCGATAGTTTTGACAATATGATTTGACATTAATAGAATATGGCGTCTCAAAATGGCGTCCGTAGGCAGAGTAAAAATTGCGACGGTAGCGCCAAGTTGCGTAGAATGGAACTAAGCTGTCACGGGCCTGGACAAAACAAGAGCGGCAAACCGTCTACGGCCAAGTTTCTGCCAAAACTCTATTCCAAATATAAAATCTGTTACTGTCATAGATAAATTATTTATGGCCCGGCCACACTAAGGAGAAATGCCGTTAATTATCGAGTTGATGGACGTTGCAATGCCGTTTCCTATTTGCCGATAACTTGAGTGGCAGTACATCAAAAGATTAACGCGCGAATTATCGCGTTGAAGCGGCCACACTACGTTTGTCTCATTGTGCACGGTGAGTGCCACGGGGTTGCACGTATGGCTGCGATGGAGTGGAATAATGAAAAAGCTTTTCGAGATTGAATTAAAAAAAATTATTTCAAAAGTACTTTAATTTACGGTATGAAACAAAGAAAAATAAGCAGGAGAAAAAAAAACAATTTTTGCGGGTCAAAATTCATAGTGTACAGTGGTACGAAACCCTGGTTACGTGTATCTAATTCGCACTTGACCAGTATTTATGATTGGCTTATTAGTTATTATTTCATTAAAATATATTTACATTTGTCTTATTATTTAGCTTAAACCATTGGACGTCTTTCAAGTGCAATTTGGGTGCGGGAAAATAAAATAAAACATAAATAGTTTTACAGTGTACGTTTCCTGGGCATTTGTAGCATCCACCATCTTCTTTTTCTTTGTATTCTTATTTTCTTTGTTTATTTTATAGGATAGGGTGACAACAAGCACACAGTCCACCTGATGGTATGTGGATGCTGTAGCCCATAGACATCTACATATCTATCCTCGATTACGAATCAAAATGCAGATGCGTTGTCACCCGTGAGGACTAGGATGGAATGCCTCGTTTCCAGTAAAAAGAGTCTCCGGTTCTCTACACTCACCATACGAAACACAGCAGCATTAAGCTACTATTTTACGCTGGTATTCTGTGAGAGCGTGGTCCTTCCCAGGTCGAAACATTTTACGCCGTTCAACGGCAAATTTAATGCCGTTCAACGGGAAACGACGTTGACCGTTCAAGTGTTGCCACTCATTTTATCGCGTTAAATTTAAGGCAATAATTGTTGCGCTTATGGGCATTGACGTTGCTCGTTAGTGTAGCCGCAGCATGAGGATATGTTCCAAAATAGAAGCCAGTGTACTGTCCAACGCAAATGACGTCATGAATCGACGCTCTACTGGTGATTCGTTCCAAAATGTAGGACAGTAGATGACGTCATACATTTGCGCCATATTGGAAAAGTGTTGGCGATTATTTTGTCATTTTGTGCTCCAAAAATCATTATATCCTCCTAATGGGGATACCAGCAATTATTCTATAATTTTTTGTAGTTGAAATAAAAACAAATTCTGGCATGCTTTATTCAGCGCACACACAATTAAAAATTGTTTTATTACGGCCGGGTATCCGACATAATATGGCGGCGGCACGCCAGTACAATGGGTGCGTTTGGCAGAAAAGTGAGTTCGTTATACGCCTTTGTAACTATTCCGATCGTGAATCTCATAATGGAGGGCCAATTTTACCCATAACGTCAGTGGTTGAACGCGTAGCTGATGCGCTTAATATTGGACAACGAACTGTTAGACTAATAACTAAAGAAAAATATGGCGAGACTGGCACAGAAGAAAATAAACTTCACACATCAAAAAAGAGAAAACGAGCAAAACTAGTCATAGGCATCGATAGCTATGATGCCGATGCCATCCGAAGACATGTGTATGGCTAGTATTTACGAAAGGAGTATCCAACAAGAAAAAAGTTAGTGCTTTATTATATTACTGAAGGAAGGTGAATTATTCTTCGCTGGGGAAAGTTCTTTGACGAAGATTTTGAAGACCGTTGAATTTCGATACAAACAATGTAACAAACGCAAAATATTGATGGAAAGATTTGATATCGTGATGACAAGATATACTTTTTTACGGCAAGTGAAAGAAATTGAAAATTGGTACAATGTTGTATTTTTGGATGAAACATGGCTTAACGCTAACCATACTGTAAGCCGTTTTTGGACAGATAAAAATGCAGTATCTACATCCAAAGTTCCTGTTGGAAAAGGATCGCGACTTATAATTTGTCACACCGGAACCATCAACGGGTTTGTCGCAAATTCTCTCATGGCTTTTGCGTCAAAAACTACTGGAGTCTATCATGAAGAAATAAATGGAGAAAAGTTTACTGAATGGTTTAACTCAATGTTGTGTAGCCTCCCTGAACCATCTATTATAATAATGGACAACACCCCATACCACTCGATGCAAATTGACAAAAATCCTGCCCAATCTCAAAAGAAAGCTGACATCGTCACATGGCTTCAAAAAATGGCGTAGATGCAAACATAAATATGTTAAAAGCGGAATTAGTACGTCCTTTAAAAGAAAACAAACCAACAAAGATATGATACGTCATTGACGAAATAGCGTTAGAAAATGGGCACAGAGTTATACGGTTACAGCCTTACCATTGTGAATATAATGCAATTGAGTTGGTGTGGGCTCAAATTAAGGGATATGCTGCAAGACACCAATACAGAACCCCCATTTACCACAACAAAAATACTAAAAATGTTAGAAGAAGCTTGTGAACATGTGAATAAAGGAGACTGGGAAAAGGTTGTGAATAGAACTGTTAAATTAATAAGGGAGGATTATGAGAGAGATGTGAACATACATAATATTTTAGAAAATGAACTTATAATTAATGTAGGTGATGATAGCAGTGACGACAGTGAAAATAGCAGTATGAACGAATCTGATTAAATATAACCTTTTGTGGCACCTTTTTTTGGTCTCGTTTTGTATTAATTTGTTTCTTGTGTGCATATAAAGTATATGTATATTCATTTTCAATATTAATAGTTTTATTAAACTTTTTTAATCAGGTACTACTTGCAATAAAAACTTATAGATTTCATTATATTTTTTTCGATAATTAATTGACATTTCACATCACTATTGTAATATGTCAAAACGGTCATCATAGCGTGCCGCAACTATATACTACAGTAATGTGGGGCTATTTGGTATGTTTTCTTTTAAAAATAGTCTCGTACACAAAAATTACTAAGGTTATGAGCTTACACAATTTTTTTTACGATTAAACTCAGCAATACCTTCTAGAGAAATGCGGTAGTATTTGTGTATTGATTCTAGATACAGAGAATTTTTTTTTCAAAAGTGCTATTCCAAATATCGCCACTTTTTTTGGCTTTTTAAAATCAGCATAATCTTAACTTCGTTTTACACTTCTATTTTGAACTGTATCTATTTAAACAGGTTTTGCGATATTTGGGCCAACAGAAGATTATGTGGCCTTTCGTTTAGTAAGTTTTTGTAGTTTAAGTACATTCAGTATTTTAAAATTTATTGTGAAAAAAGTGAAGCGCCATTTACGGGCTATTTGGAATCTAAAGTAATTTTCTTATAACAAATAAAGTTGAATTCAAGGCAATATTTGGAACAATTAAGGGTAAGCTAAAATAAACTTAAAAATTTAAATCTTTATAAAAATGATAAAACGGTAAGATTAAATCAGCAAACATTGAAAATTAAATATTTGGCACAATACAAATCTAGGTAACGTCACTTATACTTATGAAAATAGGAAATTAAATATTTGGCAAGTAATAAACCACAATACAAATCTAGGTAACATCACTTATACTTATGAAAATAATGTAGCTAAGTAGGTACCTACTACTTTGACAAACACTTTGGTTTTACTTATGACATTATTATGAGCCAATCAAAAATACGACAAATCTTCATCATTGAACAAGATGAATTCATTATTTTCATTAATTTGCAACAAATCTACTTCCTTTACAATTATATCAGCAGGTATATAATCTATATCTGAACGTTTCGGTTTTTTAAATATGACATCACCTTTTTTAGAAATGGCTTTGAAGAAGGATGTTTTGTATTTTTTTTCAATTTGGTCATTAATATCAGTAATTAAACCGATGTAATATTGCCATTTTTTTTTCTGATAATATCTAACCAGAACATTATCTCCTATGTTCCACTCTCTTTTTTCAATATTTTTTTTCAAGCAGTTAGGTATGTCTTTATTTTCAGTATGTAATTCTTCATCAGTCTGTAATTGTTCTTCAGTCTTATCCTTATCTGTTACTTCAATTCTCTTCTGGGTTTCTAAATATCCATATTCATTTAAGTTCATCTCAATGTCTGTTTTTTTATCTTGGATTTTTGTATCTGTTTCATTCTCTGAGTCCATACGCATAATTTCATTAAATATTTCGGCTTCCCTCTCATCATTCTTTCTCTTTACCACCTCGTCATCTTCGAGATCAAAAATATTTAGATATTCTGTCTCTTCGAGATCAAAGTCTTTCAAGTTTTCTATCTGTTCAATGTCGACGTCGTATAAATCACTATCACTGTGAACACTCATTAAAATTTCTTCAGTGGTTGTTGAATCTATACTTTTCGATTTGTTTGATCTTTTGGCAGGTTTATTTTTTGTTGTATTACTTAGTAATACAACAAAAAATAAATGTGTGTGTATGTGACTTACATTTCAGTTTTCGAACCATGCCTATGGTGTCATTGCCTGAGAAATATTCAATATTTTCCTTAGAACCAGAGTTAATATCATTATAGTCAACTTCAATATTTTCTCGTTCAATATCGTTATGAGCTTTTGGTTTCAATTTTGATTTTTCAGTCAAAACGGGAGACTTCTGTTTTTCTATAACGGCACTGGTAGTTATAAATGTTTGCATAAATCCTGTCTTTTCATTCAGTATATTTTTCTGAATAGTCCATTCAAGTTGCTGTCTGTCGTCGTTTCTTGTACTTGTTTTGCTTAAATCGAATTTATTAAATTTTTCTTCAGTATACTCTATAATTAAGTCCAAATCTTTTTGTTTCAATACATTTTGATAACAAATTTCGTTTTCTTTAGCTGTGTGTAATGTTTTGTTTCTTGTTTTTTGAAATTTAGTTTGTTCATTAGTAAGTTCATCTTTACATTCTTCAGTTGTGTATAGTTTGACAGTATTTTTTTGTTTGTAGTTTTATTTCTTCTTCATCTGAAGCAGTTATTCCAGATTTCCTAGATTTTATTTCTTTTTTCCAACCCGATGTATATTTCCCCTTGAATTTTTTTTATTTGACTTCGTAGTTGTATGAAGTTCACTATAAACCAAGTCTGCTTCTGTTACACTTTACCCAGGCTGTACATTACACTTTTTTTTCGTCTTATTTCGGCAGGGGCTGGAGGATTCCTTATTTCTTGCAAAATTTCTGTTACTGCTAATAATGTACTGTTATTTATTTGTTCATCCGTAACAACTGTCCTTTGTGGCAGCCGTGATTTAGGAAGTTCAGGGTTGATTGGGTATAAACCATATTTATTAAAACCTGCTACGAGGTTGCGTGATACAGCACCTCTTTCAACCAATTTGTTTTTTAGTTGACCTAATAATTTCGGAAATGAACTTTTGATCAAAGTTTTATGTTTCCGCCCTTCCTTTGACTTTCAATGAGTTAACACATCTCGCCAGTAGGTCTTCAGCGCAGCAAAAAATGCAACATCTAATGGCTGAAGCAGGTGTGTATTTTTCGGTTCAATTCTTCACAAGTCTTCAGAACGCTTTTTGAAATATGTGACGACAGATTGTCTCCGATTAAAACTTTCCGCCCGACTTTATTTCGTACGTAAGGTACTATAATGGTATTAAACCAGTCTTCAAAACAGACGGCATCAAACCACCCACTTTTTGATCGATTATATCTCGTTCCTTGAGGTCCACCCTCTAACCACATATCCCATAGATGATCCGCTTTATATACCACATATATTGGTAACAAATCAACATCAGCTGTACCCGTAAACATGAGGGAAATTGCTGTTTTTGAATTGTTTACTACTCTTTCTGGGTACTTTATGCCTCTTTTATGAATATAGTTTTTACACCTGGATCATCTGTGAGGTTGGTCTCATCGTAGTTAATTACGCAGTCTGGAGTGACACCTTCGACAGACTTCACATAGTTTTCGAAAAAACTATCAATTACGTCACTTGTAATTTTGGCTCGATCAGTAGAAATATTTGACACTTTGCGATTTGAAATTGCGGATTTGTGTCTTAAAAGAAAGTTGCGTGCCCAATCAGTCCCTGGTAGGTTATTTTTAAGCCTATATATATTTTTGCCTATTTTGTTCAAATATTTTTGAGCTAGTACTCGTAGATCCATACAGTCGAAGGGAAATCCCCATTCACTTAGTATTGTGTTAGTAATATGTTCTGAATAAATGAATTTTCCTCTTCGGGAGTAAACAAAGTTGGATGTCCCGCCTTATCTTGCGTGCAATTTATGTTTCTATATTTTCTACAAAGCGTGCTCTTTGGTACATCATAAATATTGGCAGCATCGGTTAACTTAAGTTTTCCAGACTGTACATCTTTTCCAAATTTTCTTTCGAATAACTATGATATGGTGTAAAAGATCTACCATTTCTGCAATTAGTGTATTTTCTTTGGTAAGTACGCACCATATTTCCGGAACTGTAATATAAAATAAAAAAGAAATTAATAGCTTCCCCTTAAATTTGTACTTATTAGACATTTGGGGCTATTTGAGACAGCGATCTTAAACTTAGAAAATTAAAACACACAAAAGCAGGTGTTATTTGGAACAGGATTCCAAAGAGCCTCAAACTTGTGCCAAAAAGCCCCATTCTCCAAAACACATAAAATATGGCGTTTAAAACAGGTTACAACACAATCTAAAACACCAAGAAAATACCAAGAAAACATACGTATACATGAAAAAACTCATTTTCTACTTACTTTTAAAATGTTGGTATATCAACTGAAATTAAAGTACGTACAAATTAACTCGATTTGACAAGCTTTTTTCAAAAATGTTTCTAACCATTTGCTTACACTTTGATAACCTCTAAATTTCGCTGGTGACATTGACATTAGTTGTAGTATTGCCATATTGTAAAATAAATATTCTACTGTTACTAGAAGAAAAAATATATTAAATCAAATCTTTTATTTCAAAAGTTCTGAATAGCCCCTGGAGTTTCAAAAAGCCCCACTTTACGGAGAATCGATAAGAATCGATCGAGTTAATCAACGCTGTAAAGACGAATTTACAGCGTTGATTAACTTACGGAACAAACCAGAGCTAACGATTCTCCGCGCGGATAAATAATTTAAGGCTAAATTTAAATACTACTTCGACGGTACATACAAAAAGGTCAAAACATACCCTATAACTAAGACGCTTAAAGCAACTAGCGATTTAATAAAGAAATACTCCGAAAAATTAAATCTCGACGTGAATTCGCTAATACCATCATGTACCAAACCACCGAGGTTGTATGGGTTACCGAAGATACACAAACCAAACGCTCCACTACGTCCTATAGTGAGCCAGATCGATTCACCAACTTATAAGCTGGCACAACACTTGGCAAAAGTACTGTCACCACTGAGAGGACATACCAGAGCACACACAAAGGATTCATACCATTTTGTTAGTGAGATAAAAGACCTACATCTTTCTGACAATGAAACTATGGTCAGTTTTGATGTTCAGTCACTATTCACATGCCTACCTATTGAAGACTGCATATCAATTGTAATTAGAAAGCTAGAATATAATAACATGCCTGCTGAATATGCAGTATTACTCAAACACTGTCTCACATCTGGCTATCTATTGTGGAAGGAAGAGTTCTACAAGCAAGTAGATGGTGTGGCGATGGGCTCACCTGTATCTCCCATAGTCGCCGACATATTCATGGAGGACTTCGAGGAGAAAGCCCTTCTTACTGCTGTAAATCCAAGATTCTACAAGCGGTACGTAGAGGACACTTCCACAATTTTACCATCTGACAAAGTAATTATTTTTTAAACCCCAAACTTTAAAAACTTTAAAAGGGGGCAATTTTTTTTTGTTTGCTGCATTTTTAAACCACCTTAACTATATAAACTCTAAAATACAATTCACAGTGGAGTTAGAGGCAAATAATTCTTTAGCTTTCTTAGATGTTTTAGTCATTCGAAATCCTAATAACACAATTGGTCACACTGTGTATAGGAAAAAGACCCATACCAACCGATATTTAAATGGTGAATCTCACCGTCATCCTTCACAGTTAGCTACCATGGGTAAATCTTTGTTTCAGAGAGCACGAGGGATCTGTGACAGAAAACATCTGGCCGCCGAGCTGCAGCATGTCAAGCAAGTGTTGCAAGACAACAAGCTTCGGATCCCGCGCCTACGTCACAGTGACCGAGTGAAGCCGGCCGCAGTCGAGCGTGTGCCTGCTGTACTACCATATGTCAGAGGAGTAGAAGGTTGGCTACATCTTGAAGCGAGCTTCCATTAAAACATACTACAAGCCGCCGAAGAAGATTAGTCAATTTTTACCATCCGTCAAGTGTAATATCCCTCTACAAGATGCAGGAGTGTACAAGTTAGATTGTGAATGTGGTCTCTCTTACATAGGTCAAACAAAAAGATCCATAAAAACCCGCGTGAAAGAACATATAGCTGACGTGAAGCACCGACGCTCCGGGAAGTCTGCAGTCTGCGAACATGTCCAAGATCGTCCCCACCATTACATTCGATTTGATAAACCACAAATTCTCGCAAAAGAACACCGATTCCTACCAAGGATGATACGCGAGGCTATTGAAATTAAAAAAACATCCAAATTTCAACAGAGAAGATGGATTGCTGCATGGGCCTATAATTAACAAAATTAAACCCAAACCTAAGCATACCGCTGCAAGACTTCATGATACTATTAGCTCGTTTTGCGTAAATCGGACCAAAAATTAATATTCAAAAACTGAAGGTAGCCGGACTAACTATGACATTGGGACGTCAAACATCTCAGTCCCCCCCCCCCGTGACCATGGGTGCTGTAAAGCACCCGAAACGTCGGGAATTAAAAATAAGTAAAAGTAATGAAATAAACTCGATAAAATCTGTAAATTTAGTTTTATTCAATATGTAGTGTTCGCGTAAATTTAAGAAATGGTAATTTTTTATACAATTTTTTGATAAGATTTTTATTTTCAAATTCACCAAGGTGTCAACACTGGATTTGAAGTTTGGAGTTTGGAGCAGTGTTGCCATATGAAGAAAAAAATATGCACTAAGCTCTTATCAAAATTGCGCTACATTTTACAAAAAATTGCTTAAAATCCATCAAATTCCGTAAAATTGTATGCTGTTAACGTATAAGGAAATAAGAAAAATTGCGATTATTTAAAGACATCTTCATTTATTTAAGTAATATGAGTTACTAAAATCTACTAAATTAGACAATTCCACTACGTTTTCATGGTCATCATCACCTCCAGATGCCGATGATGAGCCTACACCAGCTTCTATTATTTTTTCCGCAATTTTAGTAATTGTCTATATTTCAGGCTATAAGCCTTCTTTCTCGGTGGTAACTCCATTTGAAATTTTCACGGAACAAACAAAACTGAGCTTAAAAATCTAACACGAAATTCGAAAGTGGGGAAATCCAGTTTTTCTTAGGTACTAAAGTTTAGAGAGATAATGCAAAAGGGAGATAAAACAACGCATCAGCAATATTTTGGTCGGAAAACATTCGAACGATCGCGAACGATAGACTCCCTAGTGTTTTTTATCACACTGTGTTGCCAACTAATAACAAATATTCCGCCAGATTCCATTAGATATTTCTTAGCGCTTAGATATTTAAAAAAAGCGCTATTGACCCTAGAACTGCACTAAATCTAGCGCTTATGCGCTAAAACGGCAATACTGGTTTTGAGTCTGATATACTGTCACCGTAGACAGAGAATGATATAGACAAAGTGATATCTTTTGTCGCAGTCGATGTCGTGTAAAGAAATGAAATAGAATGATGAGATTTTTTGTTTCGCTGAGCGTTCCATGTTTTTCAATGTTTAGCAAACTACTTTGCTAAACAAAGATTAACAGCTAACGTGTAGTAAGCGAGATATCGTGTTTTTATAAAATACTGTTTTACGTGTTTTATTTATAGTATTTCGTATTATATTTCGTTGTGAACAATTTAGACGTAGTATTCCAACTATTTTTTTAAAACTTGGTGCGGTGTAGTGTTTTAGGGTGTAAAAGTGATAGTGGAAGGAAAATGCCGGGGTTGTCTTTTCATTAGTAAGTATACTACTCTTTATCGGTTAGTAAGCATTTCTGTAACATTTTATAAAGTCCATATACTTTGTATAATGTACTCTAGACGTAAATTTGACGTTAAAAAAGTACAAAAATAACAATTGCAAATTTTAACCTAAAATCTTCGGTGTGGACCAACTTTTCTATAAATTATTACCCACTATAGGAAACAATAATATGTCATCAAACCCGGCCTGGAGTTTCCTCATACGGCCAGCAGTGAAGGACTACGTCTCAGATCCATAAGTCATCACTGACAACACGCAATGATTGTACAACCTTGTTTTCAAGTTTTGAGGATACATGACTAAAAACTGTGTTGTAAACTCCCATACCGATAGCGTATCCGCGTTGAATCCGTCGATTGACTTCTCGGTCGAAATTGGACTTACCTAGTTGGACTATTTGTCCCAGGTAAACGTACTTGTCCAGAACTACAAGCTAATACACACACTAAAAATTAACCAATTAATATAAAAAAGCCAAGCCACCATTTCTTCTTTTTTATTAACTTGGGTAGGTGGTTTCTGTATTTGATCCGAGTGATAGGAGGCATTATCCATGAGTATTACAGAAGGCTCTGGTAGGATGGGCAAAAGCACGTTCTGGAACCACTCTTTAAATGTAGTGGCATACATTTCCGCGTTGTAGTCATTTGTGGTTTTTGATTGAAATGCCAGTAACGCGTTCTCCACAAAGCCGTATTTTGCAGAACCTGCGTAGCATATTATCAGACTGGCCCTCTTACCCATTGGTACTTTCGACGTCGACCCTTGTGTATCATCCGCCCAAGAACGGGAAACCGTGTGATTGGCGTTTAGCCATGTCATATACATTCATTGATTATTGATATAATAATGTTGTTTTAATGCTCATCAATTGTTAAAACGGTAAACAACCAGCAAAAATATTTTTATCTTAACTGCAACGCCATTACAAAGTTACGTCGTCAGTTCAATCGCGACGTGTCAGGAATGCATTCTCTGAACGGCCGAACTATAGTAATCTGTCAAATTCATTTAAATAAAAATGATAAATATGTCACCCATACATATATTTATTTGTTTGCTGTTTGTATAATGTTATATTCATTTTATTTATACATCTGTTTATTTTATACAATGAAATTATTCCAGGTTTCCAAAAGATCCGGATATTAAAGATAAATAGATATCTACTATTGGAAAAAAAATAGGTTTCCGACTACTAACTATAACCATAGCCGAATTTGTTCTGTTGACTTCAAAAATGAACAATTCAACTCGTCAACAAAAAGACGGACGTTGATGAAATCAGCTGTATCAACAATCGATATATGGAGACCCATTACGGTAAGAATGAAAATGTACACCTCTTATTAATTTTTGGCGAGAAATGTTCATAACTGGGTTATATAATTATTATGACTTTTATGTGTGTTATTTGTAAATTTCATTTAATAGTTTAGTTTAGCTTTAGTTTTATTTTACATTAACTGAAACAAGACGTACTAATAAACAAAATTTTCAGTCAACAGATGATTTGCAGTTGACGGTGACGAGATAGTTGATGTAAGTGTAAAAATTGGTATTGATATTGAATAAAACTAAATTTACGGATTCTATCGCGTTTATTTAACTGATTTTACTTATTTTTAATTCCCGACATTTCGGGTGCTTTACAGCAACCATGGCCACGGGGGGGGGGACTGAGATATTTGACGTCCCAATGTCATTGTTAGCCCGGCTACCTTCAGTTTTTGAATATTAATTTTTGGTCCGATTTACGCAAAACGAACTTACGGTAT